GCATCCGCATTTCCATCGTGTGAAGGGCTTGTTCGTGCTTTGCGGTGGCTGGCCAGCACTCGGATCCATAGAGGGCGACGGGGCGCACTACACTCTTTGGGTCTACACAAGTAGACCCAAATGCTGAAATTTCCACTGCAGTAACTGATCCAATAACCAAAGTTTCTGTTGTGGAATCAACTTCAAATCTAATGCCTTTTGAATACAGCACAAATGAAAAATCAGAAAAACAAAATCGGATTCCAATCAGCAAGAGGTGGAAGGACAAACTGGAGAAACTTGTTGGCTCAGATGACAGTAAAATATCCAGAATCAGAAGCATTATTTATGTGAATTCAGAATAGCGAAGGGAAGCAATGGTACTGAAGTCTTCTTGGGGCTGAGAGAGAACAGCACAGAAGTTGCAGTTAAGAGAATGTCTAAAAGCAACTACGAATTGCTGAAAAATGAAGAAGTAATTCTACAACTCCCTGAACTCAATCATCTTTATTATTGTACCATATGTTGATGCTCCAGAGGATGAGAACATATCAGGAATGATGACCATAGCCCACTGATGATAAAGATAAAGAAACTTGTCAAACAATCAAACAATCAAAGTATATGCAGTTTATTATTCTGACAACTGTTTGCAGAAAGCACTGATACTTCTGATACCATTAAAAATTTGGGAGCTTACTTCTCCTGTCACTACTTATTAATAAACTTTCCTTGCTCGCAATAACAAGGAAGCTGCCAAATCACCCGCTTTAGATGTTTCCCAAATCCAAAAGTGGAGAATACATTTGTAGTCTAATATATCAATGTAGCTCCAACTGGAGATTTCTTATGGGAAGCACAATGCGAGATACAGCTGTGCATGAAGTGCGATTTTATTGTGGTGGAAGCAAAACATCCAAAGTAACGGTGAATTCATGACAATGGTTTTCAAACATGTAGCGTAGTTTTGGTCTTCTTGTGTTGCTAGTTCAATTAATTTTGGTCAGATAGTGATGAAACCAGCAGTTCTGGAATCTGTAAAATATCAACTTTCAGCACCCAATGGCATGTCTGTGTACGTGTCGTCTTCCGAATGATCCGTGCTTTGCATTTACATTTTTGTGCAGAATCTGTTTATTTGATCTATGTCATTTGGAGTTTGCTGTAACCAACTTCCGTAAGAGATTCCTAACTTAGCCATACACAATCTTAAATATGAAAAATGTGCTACTATCTGATTGGTTAAAAAAAAAAAACGTTGGGGAGGGCCGTGGTTAAGACTTTAGCCCCTTCTTATTGCCGCATAGGTTAGTCACAACCTCTTTGCGCTCTTCTTCTCCTCCATCAGGTGCACCTTCACCTAGGGATTACTATCGCATCTCTCTCTCTCACACACACACATACACGCACCTACCTGGCGCGCCCTTTCCTGCTTTCTTAACCTTGCTTCAGTTACTTTCTGCAACGGTCAGCTATTATTCAGCCTTTGCCATAGCTCCACTTCATTATCTCGTGCATGCATCCCCCCTGCCCAAGAATACACAAACAACCTTGAGAAGATGCAACACATGCGCAGCCTTCTTCGCAACTTTCTTCTGTGACAACTTTACAAATACGTTGATTTGTTCTTTTTCCCAAGTAACTGATTATATTCGTTTTATTGTTTTCTCACACTACAACTAAAATAAGACCTATTAGTTTGTCTAATCCTTACATATCCTGTCCTTTTCCTGTTATTTAGTCTCATATCCAAGCAGCAACTGTCTGTGAGAGCTTATTGTTATTTGACCTTGCCCTGGTTCACTCCAGCATTCCTACACAAAGCCTTCCACTAAGTCTGCATAAACAACTCTCAAATCATATGAATCTATAACTTTTCTACTTATATTATTTTGGGTACTTAGAATGCAAATAACTATTAAAGTGATCTAAAGTTAATTACAAGTCCCCAAACTATTTGCCAGCACAGATTGTGTGAATCAAATTTTTCTAGTCCTCACATGTGCTTTTAGCTGAGATTCTGACATTTCTCTCAAAATACATTTATATTTGAAAATCTATTTCAGGATTTAAAGAATTTATATTATTCAAATTAAAATTGATTTGAATTGGGAAATCGATTTTTAAACCCACCCTTAATCAAGAACACTGGACAGTTTTCACTCTATCCAATCTGCAGTAGATGAGTTGGAAAATGTAGCATTAGTAGACAATGTCAGAAAAAAATACTAAAACACATTATCATTACGGTTACAACTATGGTTGTTTTTAGGGGTGCTATGATGAAATTCAGGGTGCACCCCCAAAAGGGCATAAACTCGTCTATGAATATATAAATATCTCTTCAAGCTTTGATGCTTTTTCATTTTTCTTTTGGAAGTGCTGAATGTTTACAAGTTCCAAAATGACACCACCTGTTCTGAACTTCCCCTTTGCACTTAAAAGTGAGCAATATGCAAGCTTCTTTCTTCTTTCTTTTGTATGATTTTGGATTAAACATGAATATTACTGTAATAATATAACCCTATTCTAAGATTAATCAGTTAATTATCAATAAATGTATGAACATATGACTGTAAGATGTGATTTATCATTTGTTAATCATTGCTATTGTGAGTGGGTTTATGATACAGTATCAGTCAAAATTAAGAAAAAACATTAATCATGTGTCAAGGGCTGGGTTTGTGACCCAACATTTTGAGTTTATGTTATATTTTTGATTCGTTAGGTTATATTGACATATGTTAAGTTCTTGTGGCGTTATTCTTAGTCGGGATTGTTGAAGTTTAGTCTAGTTATGTTTTCACCTCTGTTTGTGTCTTTTCCTGTCTTCTGTGTTAGTCTGTCATTGGCTTGTTGTCTGCGTCTTCATGTTGTCAAACTTGTGTTATTATGTCTACGTCTCTCCATGTTTCCTGTTTTATTTCGAAAGCC